GTAATATTAATGCTGTCAAGTATCGTGAATACTTGAAGACAACCTCTGGCCCGTTATAGCTCGGCACTTCAACAACAAACCATATCGGTTTCAAGATGACAATGCTCCGGTGCATCGGGCACTAATTATTCAGGAATACAAGCGTGAAAATGCTGTAAATTGCATGACTTGGCCTGCACAGTCTCCCGATATCAATATTATTGAAAATGTATGGCTACACATCAAAAGAACACTACAGCGAGGATCACAAACTATCCTGACCACTGACGAACTGTATGATGCCATCTACGATGTCGTCATATTTTACAGAGTAAAATAGATTTTGATTACGGTATGGTACGAGTAGCGTCCCTTGCTTCTACAACAGTATCGCTGCAGTTATCTCCCTTATATTAGCATCAGAGCCCGCACGGCGTCAGGCTTTCAACACCACAGAGCAGTGATAAATTGTTTTGAAAATGTCATCAAAAGAGGTTTCAGAGCAAACCGACGTAAAACCGAAACGCCAGAGAGCTGGACTAAAGATGATGGAAGCCCTTGAATCGCTAAAACCTTCTCCACGGACGTCTACTGACATTCTCTCACCGCGAGATTCGGCAAAACCATGTCGCCTGGTAGCCCGCCATTGCATCATGCATCAGCCAGCGACATGGAACGGAGCACAATACCCTTAAACGGAATGTGCGAATTAGAAACAGAAATGAAACGTCTCAGGTTGGAAGCTAAAGCGTGTTACTCTGGCGAAGGAAGTGGAGCCTTTAGACAAGAGTTGGATGTTGGTAAATCTACGCGGCAACGCGGTGCAGCCAAACAAGATAGCGGCCAGCGAGATGCCGACGGCAGTCAAGCGGCTCAGGGTGCAGGCGATACACATGCTTCAGAACCTGTTTCGGGTAAGAAGAATACTAAACTAAGGAAATTAACGGACTACTCGTGGGTAGATTCCCTTGATAATATTGACAGAAAAGATGCTTGTATTGGCAATGGCATTATATTAGGCCTTGACAACATCAAAGAATCGGGCGTTTTGGGTCAGTTGTCCAGCTTGTCCCCGGAAAGGTGGACCTACGCCAGTATTGGCACTGTATTGGTGTGCTAAAGGACATGATAAACGCCACAGAACTTGACATGCCCGGTGTTATGGGGTACCTGAAATACATGCAGGACATCTCACGATTAGCATCAAAGTACGAGTGGGCCAGTGTACTTTTGTATGATAATGAGTACCGTGAGAGACAATGTGCTGAAGGATTTCAATGGGGAGCACCTTATCAAGAAATATGTGACTTTCAGTTACGGCCGAAACGAAATTCAAGCACGGAGAGGGCTATGAAACAAATGGACCGTGCACATGACAGCAACACAAATCGACGTCAGAGATCACGTGGTCCGTTCACAAATGACGGTAGAGGAATTTGTCGACGATTCAACTACAGTCGTTGTATGCAAGGGGAGTGGTGCAGACTGGCACATGTATGCAGTATCTGTCAAATGACAGGTCATTCTGCCCACCAACACAATGCAGGTGCTCCTAATTTCAGAAGTCTTCCTGGCCACAGCAGTGGTCACTCAGAGGGTAGAAGTGCTGACCATGAATCAAAAAACTTTCACCAAACCCAATAAACACTCTAAATTATGAGGCTTGGAATCGTATGTTACCACAAGATGACCCATATAGAGAATATATTTTGTCAGGTGTGAAATATGGATTTAAATTAGCGGACGTTAAAAACGTTCCCTTACGCCAAGTGTTTACATATAATCAAAAATCAGCTTTAACAAATTGTCAGGAAACGGGAAAACAGATTAAAGAAGAATTGTCATTGGGTAATTATGTGATATCCAATTCCAAACCCACAATTGTGAGCCCTTTGTGTGCCATCCCTAAAGACAATGGTAATGTTCGTTTGATACACGATGGAAGTGTTCCGCACAATACAGGTATGAACAGTTATATGGTAGATTGTGAGTGTGAGTATATGGACCTCAGACATGCCCTCAAAATAATCAAGACAGGCAGTTACCTAGCAAAGTGGACTTTAAAGAGCTTACAGATCTGTCAACATACACCCCAGTAATTCTGGCGCTGACAGGATTATACTTGGCGCTTCGAGGGCGAAGTCTGATATAACATACATGTATGATAGGAAACTTCCGTTCGGTGCATCTAAGAGTTGTCGAATCTTCCAAACTTTGAGTGCATCTGTGTGTCGAATGATGAAAACACAATATAATGTGGATGTTATTGTGTATATTGACGATTTCCTCATTAACCGTGACTCTCTTGAGGAATGTTCTCAAGCTCTATCTTGTTTATTGGGTTTGTTACGTACACTCGGATTTATGATAAACTGGAACAAGGTCGATGGGCGTGTCAGCGCATTGTGTTCCTTGGAATTGTTATTGACACACAATGTTGTACATTATCCCTCCCACGGATAAGTTGCATTCATTCTATCAAGAAATCGCCTCCTTCTCTAAGAGAACCAGGGCCAGTAGACGGCAGCTAGAAAGATTGGTCGGACAGTTAAGTTGGGCAAGTATGGTCATTCAGGGTGAGCGACATTCATGCGCGCCGTGTATTAGATCTGAAGAATGCTATTAAGTCTCCACATGGAAAATTCAAACTGGATGATAACTTTCATGCTGATGTTGATTGGTGGTTGTGCTATTTGAAGCAATACAACGGCACAACAAAGTTCTTAGACAAACGCCCTTTACAGAGCGTGTTCACGGATGCATGCAATGAAGGTGCTGGAGGTCATTATAATGGGGACTTCTTTCGTCAATTGGAAAGCAGACATGAGAGAGATAAGTGACCTTCACATCAACGTTAAGGAGACTCTCGCCATCATACTGGCTGCGAGTAGATGGTGTCATGACTGGCTGAATAAGAAAATAGTTGTAAAGACTGACAATCAAGTGGCAAAGGCCTTTATAAACAAAGGGTCATGCAAAATACCAATCGTTATGAACTGGTTACGTTATCTTTGGTGGCTAAAAGCGAGCTTCAATTTCTCTCTATGTGCAGATTACATTCCAGGTCATAAAAACACTTCAGCAGACTATTTCCAGACTGCATGAACCAGGCCGATTGTCTGAAGTTTTTGACTTGTTACCACAGTTTTGCTTGTTTAACTTAGATGTACATTTACTACGCTGCCATATGTCTGATGATTTTATTGCTTCTAGATGGGGACGTTGTGAAGGTTCGACTGCAAGAAGCAGTGTCTCGCCTTATATCGCAGGGGTGGTCGGGGTCCACGAAGCGCACATATAAGACTCAGCTGAAGTGCCTACTGAATTTCTGTGATATTACAGGTCTACAACCAGTGCCCATGACTTGTGAACATGTGTATCTATATGTGGCGTTTCTAGTAGATATCAAGAAGGTGAAATACTCCTCAATTAGACAGTATTTGTGTGCTGTAACTAATTTACAATTTTGAAGATCCCCTGTCAGCAGATTGGGGTATATCTCACTTGTTACAAGGAGTCAAACGGGAATTGGGAGACTCCCAGTCTGGTGCCACTCCGATCATAACCCGAACACTTGTTAATTCTAAAGAACAATCTGAACTTACTGACATTGTGTGGCTTATCTGTGTGGGTAGCGTGTGTTTTGGGCTTCTATGGAATGTTGCGCCCAGGAAACTTTGTGTGTGGATCAAACTTTGATCCTTGTAAGCACATAACTGTACTTGATGTGTTTAGGATGCAGAAGGGATACCGTGTGTCCCTGAAATGGACTAAGACGCTGCAGTTCCGAGAGAGGCTGTTGGACGTATTTCTACCAGATACTGGTACACACCCCTTGAACCCAGCGACGGCTATGGAACGTCTATTGCAGCATCATACAAACTTTTCATCATCACAGCCGCTGCTGTGCAACAAGGACGGCTCTCCTCTAGCATACAGTACCTTCATGGAGACCATTCGAGCAATATTGCAGAGACAGGGACTTGCAGCAGACATCACCGGTCACTCGTTCCGGTAGCGGTGGTGCGACCTGAAGCGTTCAACATCGGCATACCTGGAGAGCTGATTCAGGACATTGGGTTCTGGAAGAGCTCAGCATATTTGCACTACCTGGAGTTCAGTTCTCAGCGCGAATTAAAATGCAATGCTCTACTGACTTTTGGTACATGTCTACCTATCCCCTTTCACAAATCCTTAATTAACTTTGAAATCTTCCTGTTAAATTTTGCCTATTTGAATGCACTGTTTTAACTACTTATGCCATGCTTCATTGTATTAAAGTTCCAAAGTTTCTCTTTATATCATCGCATTTGTCGTTTATAGTTCGAGTTTAGGTGAGTATGTTAAATGGACAAATATCACTCTACACTATGTTAGAAACTTATATGAATCAATTCCACGACGGATTATGGCCTGCATACGCTCCAAGGGGAACTTGACCAAGTACTGAGGTGAGACATAATTCTTTTTTTGAAATACCGCTGCTTAAAGTTTTCATACGGTCATGTGTTTACTTCCGACATTTTGAATTGTCGCGAATACTTTTGTCATCACGCTGTATGTCACCCCCATTGTAGACAGCTTTCAATTTTCTGTAAAACGGACAACAGGGGACGTCATGCTCAAGAAAAATCGATTGTCTGATATTTTATAACTGACAGCGGAAGGAAGGTATATATTCTTTCTGACGAACACGCACTGCAATGTTGAATATTTCCGCGGTTTGACAGGCAGGAATAATTTTTAGTACGCGTTCGAGAAACCGGTTTAGCGCTCATCGCGATGCAGAATGGGATCGTCCTAGGGTACGATTCAGTACATTTACTTTGGCTAGGGTACATTTCTGTAGTACCTGTGCCGACAACGACCCCTTCAGCGGTAATCGGCCACTAGCATCTGAATGGGATTTATATAGATGGCGTTCTCCTCCGCGATGCATTGTCATGTCTCGGCTAAACCTAACCCTATTTTAGCATTTACATTTTGACATTTTAAGCAGGGGTTACGGGCGGAACTCTTACCGTTTCGAGAAATAGACGAATAAACCTGATGTAGTGTTCTATGGGTCCTTCACTGCACGACTTGCTGTTCCTAGGAGGAGAGAAGACAACTAAGTGTTCACGATAAGCCTTTTACTTCCCACGTCCCAGAGCAACCGGTCGAGCGCAGCCCAGACCGCAGCCTGGTTCCCTGGGTCTGTTGCGCCTGCGCTAACGCTCCGACACTGTGGAGCGTTAGCGCAGGCGCAACAGATCCAGGTGACCAGGCTGCATTACATCACTAAGCTGGGCCCCGTCTCGCATATCGCCTCAGTGAAGCGTTCGTAAAATATTCCTTATTTGCTTGGGTTAGCCATCCACATTAAATAACCAGGACGTTTGAATACATATGCACCTTTCATGACCCTTATTTGTTTGCTTATCCATCTGCATAAAATGAAAACAAAACCAAGACAACACGAAACAGACAAATGCACACGCTGCAACGAAACAGAAACGTCCTTATACATCCTACTACACTGCATACACTACCAACAACACAGACTGGTGCTCCAGGGTTCACTAGACACTTAAACACACCTAACATTACAAACACTTCTAAGCCCACTAAATAACATCCAAACCTTGAATTTTGTACTGGGGGGTGGGTGTCACCAACTTTGTTCATAAATTCTAGGATGTGTGTGTGTGTCTCGTTATCTTCAATACCTTCAGCATTTATTTTTGATATTTCTAAAATCTATGATCATTTCTTTGTGTGTTTTTTGCACATTAAAAAACAATAAGTTTGATTTACACCATTCTACAACTTTTGAAATTTCAGTTCTGTAACTAACTTCTGGTTCTCAAATAAAGTCTACCAGTGCAGCATTGTCAGCGAATTTAACTGAAAAACATATTACTGCATTTGGATACACAGTCTATGGTGTACAATATAAACAACATTGGTGAAATAACGGAACCTCCTGAGATTTAAGCAACATATACTCGCAGTGAGGTTATTATAGTACACATTTGTGGCGTCTGATTGATTCATTATTTTCAAGGGCGTATGTTCCATCAGGGAGACTGTAGTAGATTGTCCCTGGTTCCATTAATTAAATAGTGCCATGGTTTTCGATAATGGAGAACTTAGCCAGTAATATAGTTTGCCTGCCTTGGCTCTGCCCCGGTGTTAGGCAATCAAACAAAAAACTCCTTTTCAGTTTAAAGGTCACATAAACCCAAGGGGGTACAAATATACATAAATCACTAACTGGCATCGTTATAAATGAAACCCCGTCATTAAAACTACTCATTTCGACCTTTAATTGACTTAAATCGACCTTTTTGACAACAGTGCACAATTCTCACCCGCGAACGAAATTTCAACCAATCAGAGCGGCGCGCCTCTGTGACGTCATATGAGGAATAGCTTTGAGGGCCGATGCAGAATTCATCTACATTTTAGGGGGTAAATTATCGTGTTTACAGGCTTGTATAAACCTGAAATCGTGACAATTGTTGTGGAAAATGAAAGCTATATGTTCTCACAATCTACTGGCATTTAATTTTGTCTCCTGCTTTTGCCTAGTTTCCGAGTTACAACTTGTTTTCATAGACGATTCTGTCAAAATCGATTGGTGTCGTTAGGCCCTATTTGTATAATGACTGATCCAAATTGATCCCATTTCTGTGTTGTTTTACCTCGATATTTAATCATGTCATGTAAAAATCTGTTTGTATTCTCAAAACAGTGTCGGCCCATAAGTTTTCACATGCAATACAGCAATTAATACTCCCTCGTTGTAACCCGTGTTAGGTGGTATAAACCTACACATGTTATTTGTCATCATTCACTTGATGGTCAGTTAATGAATTTATAACAGGTATAATTAGTGGTAACACACTTAGATTACCCGACAAAGGTTCCCATTTGGCATTTCTTGTGTCTGGAGTAAATATTCAACATTATAAACATCGATCAAAGGATTACTTTTATGTTACACAGCGGAATTGTCAAAAGGTAGTGTTTATGTATGTAGATTTACTAATTTATACTGAATACACTCTGTCGTGTCGGTGTCTGCGTAAAAACAACGTCCTTCTTTCAAAGGATTAACCGGCAATACATTGATTGATTGCCCATTATTGGCTAACTAAATTACTGTTTTTAAAGAAAGGCGGACATTATGCAATTAGTTGCCAGGTGTGCTATCTTGGGTGACCAATGAGACTATACACCAATACCTGAAAAGATTTATCACTTTTTCGTATATTAAACTGTTAAAAGACACATCATTTGGAACAGTTTTGTGGATATTGATGGATACATTCCTCGAACAAGGTAATGGCCTGATATTGTTCCTATAACTTTAATCTGTTTTAATTTTAATATTTGCATTTTGTTTTTATGCATTTGTCGTAGCATTCAACAGAATCATTGTTTTCGCCGTTAAGTGTAATGAGACAGACAACATGCACTAGGGTGTGTGTGCGGAATTATGATTCACATTGGCAAACTATAAAATGTCTAGATATTACAGTTCTGTTATAAATTCACTATAAGTATCAGCAGATCGTCTGCTTTTTATTTAGTTTCAAAATGCATACAAGTGTGATAATAAACTAATTAGGGATTATAAGACCAAATATAAAGACGCACATTGACTAGTATCTACATACTGGTGAGTGGACATTAACCATGGGAATGTAGCAAGAAATTTATCGCGCAGTATTGTGACTTCGACCCCCACCTCGCTTCCGTGGAAGATATCGTTATGTTATAAGTTGTGTCATGCAAAATCCGTTTGGTTATGATTCCAATACATATTTAACAACGAGTAGAAAGTAGTCTTGATTTTCTAACTTGATGAAAACAAACTATAATCTCATTAATTCTAACAGATTTTTTATTTTTAAAATGGCGGAGACCCTGTCGGGAACATCCGCCAGTCTGAGGATAAATGGTATTTAGGTTTGTTTTCACCGAGTTACAAAATCCAAACTACTTTCTACTGGTAGTAAAATATGTATTTTATTGATGGCCAATAGGATTTTGCATGCCATAGCGTATATCATAACAATTTCTCTCGTGGCAGCGAGGTGGGTGTCAATATAATACTACTTACAATATTATTGTTACTTCGACCACAACCTCAGTTCCGAGGAAGAAATCGTTATGTTACAAGTTGTGTCATAGAAAATCTTTATGGTCATCAATAGTATGCATATTTTACTACAACTAGTAACTAGTTTTGATTCCTTAACTTCCGTGAAGCGATCTGAACACAAGTAAGATATCGTTTCAGGCTTCCACAACGCTCGCTTCGCACTCACAAACATAACCCATTTAGCACGAACTGTGGGGTCCTGTGGAAATCTGTGCATGGGGACACCATCGCCCGACCCCTAGGAGCAATTGACGACAAAGCAACGATTCGGCATGTCGTCGTTGATGTCGAGAAATCATCAAAATGATGAGCGTGCTACACATTTTCTATACAACTAACTGAAAATCGTTCCTCATATGACGTCACTGCAGTGCTCTGGCGACAGAGTTACGTAACCTGTCTGTGGTTTCGTTGGCGGGCGAGAGGGAAGCAGGCGACTTTTTGGCCACTTTTAATCGCTCGGTATTAATTAACCACAAGTTTTTAAAGAATAAATTTGGTGTTCCGCATAAGACTAAACACAAATCTTTCATATGTAATGGTTAAAAGAGTAACAAAAAACAAAGTTTAGTGGTTCTTTAAAAGGAGCTATTTGTTTCTATCAAAATAATATGTATTCAGAGACTAAGCGTCAGTAACAGACTGTCATACAGAACCTGAAACAAACATACCAACATGGAACCCATGCAAGTCTAGAATGTGTGGCAAGTCTAGATTACCACAGTTTCTGAAAATGAAGAAAATATCTTTTTGGGATAAAATATGTTTTTTTTTTTCAGAGACTAGATGTTAGTCTACGTCAGTATACGAGGGGGCAAGTATGGCAACCCGTTTTTTCACAAGTATGAGAAACCAAATTATTTGGGTATATGGGTCTCTGCATTTAGTAACATATTACTTATACATTCATTTGTTTTAAATATGTCTGTATTATATCTGAAGAGAGCTATTATGTTTTTTAAAGATATTGGTAAATGTTTAAAGATGTCTCTATATAATTTTGGACATTCAAGGTAGAATTAAATTTAATTCAAGATATCTCTGAAATAAGTTATACATATCCACAAACATATGAGGCGCCGTTTTACTAGTTATTCCTTATTTTATGATATCAACAATTCATTTATTGACATACAAATTCGATTTTTAGATTTTAATAATGTATTTATCGATATCACAAATTTACATTTAGATATCAATAATCTTTGGTATTTTCAAATATCACCAAATCGATTTATTGATATCAAAGAAATGAATTACTGATGTCACAAATTGATTTTAGATATCACAAATTCGAAATGTATTATTGACATCGCAAAACGGAACACTTGGTACGATGATAATTTGTTTTGTTTTCAAAAAGTGCAATATATGTAAAAGGTTTCAGCTATTGAAATATTTAAGAACAAGGGGAAATTATGTGAGGAATTATCGCTGAAGGTGTCGTTGTCGTCACAAGTACTACATATATATCCCAGGTAGTATATATAGTACCCGTGCAGACAACGAATCCTTCAGCAGAATTATCTGCCCTTTGATTGAAACTGACCTGCAGACTGCCAAATATACTGAACATCATTGAAAACGCACCACCTGTATCAGTTTGGATTTCCAAGAGCAAGTGGTGTAAATATTACATACTTTTGTAGTCCAGTGATTGGTAAAGAAAAGAAACAAGAACCAATCCAGCAAAAGAGTGAAGTTTTAATTCAGCTGACCATGAAAGAAAGATGGAGTCAAATTGGAAAGTCAGTAACGTGTATGACCACCGTTAGCAGCAACACAAGCTGTGCAACGTCTCCTCATTGAACTGATAAGTCTCTGAATAATGTTTTGAGGCAATGCATTCCACTCTTGTTGCAAGGCGTTCCCAAGTTCCCCAAGGTTGTTGATCTGTGGGCGACGTGAGAGGTGTTGGCCGATGTAATCCCACAAGTGTTCAATGGGAGACAAATCTGGTGACAATGCAGGCCATGGAAGTAGAGGAATGTTGTTGTTTGCCAGAAACTGTGTTGCAATGAGTGCAGTGAGCGCTCGAG